GGGGAACAAACAGACATTATGAAGTGTCTGTTGGAGCTGCAGGAAAGCCAACAAGAGCCAAGACACACACCCCCCCCACCCCCTCTCCCGCTGCATCCACTGTATAACCGCCTACCCTTCTTCCCATGTTCCATAGCCTCCTCGCCCAGATGCCTAAGAATACGGGGTGGGGGAGGGGAGGCTCCGGGCCCCCAGCCACTCCACTCCAGAGGATGGCACAAGCAACAGAAGGCTGTCATTCAAACGGTTTATTGTAGTCATATTAACAATCCAAACTGTGTGGCCTTGTCCTTCCCTCCTCCCCCACCCCACCCGGTGTGTTCGCTATCTCTTTTTTAATAAAGACTGCATGGTTTCAAAACAATAGATAATGAGCGAGGTGTTTACAAAGCTCACAACAGCAGCAGTGATAGTAAGCTGAGCGGGCTCCATACTTGCCGTGGTATGGCGTCTGCAGGAGAGCAGAGTTGTAGCGGAAGCAGTGTATGACGACTGCTAGCAGTCCTACTGCACCGTCTGCTGACAGCAGCACCCAGGACACAACAGCGGCGGTGACACTAAGCTGAGCGGGTTCCTTGCTTACCGTGGTTTGGCGTCCGCATGGAAAAAAGGCACAAAACAATTGTCTGACATTGCTTTCATGGAGGAGGGGCGACTGACGACACGTACCCAAAACCACCCGCGACAATGTTTATGCCCCATCAGGCACTGGGAGCTTAACCTAGAATTCCAATGGGCAGCAGAGACTGCAGGAACTCTGGGATAGCTACCCACAGTGCACTGCTCTGTAAGTCCATGCTAGCCATGGTAGTGAGGACGCACTCCGCCGACTTAATGCGCTTACTGGGGATGTACGCTGTCGACTGTGTAAAATAGACTTCTAAAAATCAACTTCTATAAGATCGACCTAATTTCATAGTGTAGACATACCTTTAGTTCCTTGCATTTGCTCTCCAAGCACTCTACAAATGCTGACTTCATTGAACAAAAGAGAAAACTGTTAAAAGCTCTAGCTAGCAAGTCTCCTCTGAGCCATGTGCCCTTGCCAAGTGACTTAGCTTGTGTCAATGTTCCCGGAAGATGCTGTGCACAATGGGCATGCTCCAGCCTGGGGCTGAGCAGGACTTCCCCTGCAACTGCAGCTCTGGGCTGCAGTTCTGGCGTGGGCAATGGAACTGAGAGCAGGGAGCCTGTCTCACCTGTGATGTCCCTGAGGCTGTATGGGGGACAGCGTACTTTTATTTTCGCAGCCTTAATGTTCTTTTAATATTTTGTATTTGTATAAAAATGGATCCTCGAGTAGTTGGAATGATTGATTATTTAGAAGGGAATATGGATGTTGTGCTACTAATGGATCTGTCCCTTTAAGAACAGACAATATATTTAAGACTGAGAGCAGTATGAGCTGCTTTGTTTTTGTGTCTACAGGATGAAAGACCCAGTCTGTGTAAACTCCAGAAAGGTCAGAACTTGATTTAGTATATCTCTTTCCAGAAAGCCAGGCAACACTAGCATTTACAAGAGACTGGATGTATTGGGGTATTGCTAATGAGGCATAAATGCTTTCACTTGTAGGTCACTATCCTGTCCAGCTCAGCAGGGTTTAAATACTGCTCCTATCTCAAGGAAGTTTGGACCATATATGAGATTAGTTTAAGCCAGTTCCCATGTCACATACTCTAATGCAAAGCATGGTAGTGAGATTAAACTCTTCGGGATGGGGACTGTCTCTTACTATATGTTTGTACAGAGCCTATGGCAGTAGGTCCCTAATATTCATTGTGTCCTCCAGTGAAAAATCCTGTATCGGGACCAAAATTGCTTTGCTCACTATAAATTTTATGAGTTAGCAACATCTTAATTTTCACACTCCCACTGGGAATGGGTAAGAGAGGGGTTCTAAAAGCCTAAGATTAAATCATAATTTTGGGATCAGTCTTAATTGTAATTCCCATGTGGGGTTGCTTTTTGGGGGGAGGGATCAACTCACAGGATTTAAAAAAAATTAACAGTTGGCAAAACTGATTGTTTTTGTTTTTTTTTTGTAGAGACTTGTTGCCAGTGCAGATGAACTGTCCATCAGAGATGGGATTCTGGGAAAGTTTATAGCCCTATTCAGAAATCCACAGTATCACTTCTCCATAATTTTTCCTTTTAGAATTACTTCATTCTTGGCTCCTGTCATGCATTTCACATTCTTTAAATTCAGAAAGTCATGTTTGATAAATCCTGCAGTGCAAAGATAGACACAGAAGTTGTATTTTTAAACCTTATTGGCTGCTTCTGCTCAACAAATGAGCTCATATTTGCCCCTTCTTCCCATTTTGAGACTAGCATTTTTTGTCACTGCCTTCCCTGCACAGCCATGGACTCCTCTGTATAAACTTAGTCTGTCAACTGTCGTGAATGAACAGCCTAAAGTGGAGCATGATCACACTATTTCTTTTTCCTCTTCTTTTCCTCCCTTGGGCATTTATCTATTCCCCACCATGTTTCCCCTTCACCATGGAAACCATCTGCAAAGCAAAACATGAGATATGGAAACTTGAGTTTCTGAATAGGGACCAAGGAAGTCTCTACAGTATACTCCGGACTATCTGAATAGCATGGGGGGGCATGGATTTTGTTCAGCTAATTGAAGGCAGGAGCCAGTCAGCAGCAAGGTAGCCACCCCTGTTACCCTTGTGTCTGGGGGTCCCTAGTCTGTTATCCAAACATCCTCATCCACATCTCTTCTGGCTCCCCAGCACAAGACACATAAGATATGTCTACATTGCCGTTAGACACCTGCAGCTGGTCTTTGCCAGCTGGACTCGGGCAGCTGGGCTGTTTAATTGCAGGGTAGATATTCAGGCTCAAGCTGCAGCCCAAATTCTGGGATCCTCTCATCTCACCGGGTCCTAGAGCTCAGGCTCCAGCCCGAGCCTCAATATCTACACTGCAATTAAACAACCCCTTTAGCCCAAGCCCTGTGAGTCGGTCATCTGTCATAGGCCAGCCGAGGGTTTTTAATTGCAATGTATACATACCCATGGGAGATGAAGAAGGGATTCTGATAATGCAGAGGTTGGAATAATAGGGTTTTGGATAAACAGGAGTATACTGTATATCAATAAAATGAACATTAGTAGTAAGGCTGCACCGTGTATCTCAATCTTTCACTGCTTAGGGGTGTTTTCTCTATTATTCAGCAACAGAAGTGAATGAAAGCTGAGAACTTGTTTCCCTGGGGAGCTATTTCTGATTATCTCCATGTGTGGACACTCCATTATTCCAGAATAAGAATGCTGTATTCTGAATTAATTTGGATCAACTATTTTAGTCCATTTTTGGATTAAACTAATCCAGAATAAAGCACTCTGATTCTAGAATAAGAGTGTCTACACTTAGAGATAATCAGGAATAGCTTCCCAGAGACAAGCCCTTAGAACTACATGAAATGAGAGTAGCCCCACAAGATGACCTTCAGCTCCCATTCATTTCTGTTGCTTTAAGAGAAGGTGCTCTGTCTGAATATGAATGTATAATAAATATAAAAATTTGCCTTTCATTTGGTAACATTAATAAATTAAAATCTGTGTCTTTAGAGGAAGCAATGGGAAGAGTGGGTGGTTACTTCTTTGCAATTTCTTTTGAACAACTAGAATGGTGAACCCTCAACATGGGAGAAGCAAATGCAAGGAGGGGGCCCAAATGAGGGATTGGATTTTTCTTAAAATCCAGTCTTTGTGTTAAAAGGGGTATTAGTTTTCAACCACTGATCATTACAATTCATATATATATAAATTGCTGTAGTGTCTCTGGCCTCACATTTCCCACCTATTTGAATAATTGTCCCTATATCTAAATAATTCTTCTCACCCAGACATTTTTTCCTGGAAGTTTTTCCCATGGTTAAGGCTAAAGATTCTCTAATTCAGCTGTTTGCATCCCATGAAACTCAAATTCATAGACTCAAAAGCCAGACAGGAGCACTGTGATCCTGTAGTCTGACCTACTGAGTAGCACAGGCCATGGAACTTTTCCCCAAATTATTACTAGAACTGATCTTACAAAAACCATCCAATCTCCATTTTAAAGTTGTCAGTGATGGAGAATCCACCACAACTCTTGGTAAATTGTTCCAATGGTTAATTACTGTGTTTTAAAAAATTGTGCCTTATTTCTAGTCTGAATTTGTTAAGCTCAACTCCACCATTAGATCACATTCAATCTTTCTCTGCTAGATTGAAGAGCCCATTATTACATGTGTTCCCCTCCTAGGTACTTCAGATTACCCCCTTAATCTTTAAAGTAAAAAGATAATGAGCTCAGTCATTATCACTCAACAATCTTGAGTTGATTTGTACATGGTATACAAGTTGTGTGATAAGTTTGGTGAAACTTAACTCATTGATAACCTCTCAGCAAGACTCAGTCTGAGATCTGTTCTTCTCACATTCACAGAAGTATCTCAAACAGCCCCCTAAATGGAAAATGTAAGTGGTAATTCAATATCCTGTGCTAAAACTAAATGTAAAACATGCTCCTTTATTCACGGTCTCTAAACATCTGTTTAGATCGTGCTGCATTTTAATCACATGTCCATTAAACAAGTGGCCTAGAAGGGAAGGTGTCTGAAGTTTTGCTTTGATAAGAAATTTTCAGTTGTACTGATTGGTGAGCCCAACTTATTGGCCACCAGAAGTTTTATTCCAATGTTGTCTCAATGGTTTATAATGTATGGTGGAGGTACTACAAGCTAGCACCCAGATAGTCAATAAGAGGTCTTTATCCCTTTTCATCTATGTTCAAGACCAGAACTTTTTCAGCAGTCTTGCTTAACCATGAGTACCCAGTTGCCCAATGATTTATTGATCTGGAGACCTCAAACCGCACAAGGCACAGTTGTAAAGGAATCAACATGCTTGAGAAGCCATGCACAATGGAAGAACTCAAGGCCAAGAGATAGAGATAATATATAAAATAAAGAAAAATCCTGAAACTCTTCTCTTTTCCAGATGTCTGTAAGCCAGCAGCAATCAGGAAGAGGGATGCCTTGTCTGCGATGCAGAGGGATGTGTACAGGCTTTGAGCCACATTCTTGGAGGTAATTTATCTACTGCTGGATGGGCTATTTAAAAAAAATCTCTCTTGGGGCTTTGTCTATATTCAGGCTTCACTGACTCTCTGTAGATGCAAACTGATAAATGATTGTGTTGGAGGAAGGGAAGTGCAGAGTTTGTGCAAGCTCAGTGCTGGGGAGGCCACTAGAGGGCTAGAAGGTTCTGCCCTTAGGATATGTCTACAGTGCAGTCTTAGCTCATGCACCTACATGATTTGATTTATTTATTTTTTGGTCTAAACCTTCTATGCTGCACATAACCCTCAAGCATGTGTCTCTTTGTGCTTTGAACCTGTGTTTGCTTGCATGTCTGGAGGTCTGGATTGAAGCTGTTATCTCAGACTGGAACCTGCCCATTTTGCAGTGAGGACATAGGAAAGGTCACTTGAATATTGATAGTCCTCCACAATTCTCTCTGAGACAGGTATATTCTTCCACAATTGACAGAATTGATTGAAGAATCCATTGAGTATCTGAGCACAAAGAATCATGGGAAATGGCCCCACATATACATTAAGTGCAGAAACGGTGAGGACATAATGCATATAGGGCTTTTCTGATGAACGCTTATACTGGGTTAGGCTAACCTGAGTGCCAATCATCCAGGCTACATGCGCAGTGTAGACATAACCCTCAGTCTCTACACCTTAACCAGTCCTCCTCCCTCTATCTGTTTAGCTAATCTCCTCCCTATGCAATCCCATCCAAAAATTAAAGAAACAAGCAAAGTTGTGGATTTATCATGATGTTTGGAGACTATTGTCCTGTTCACTCTACCAGGATGGTATATCTCCACTCCACCACCTCTTTGTCTTCTCTTTACCCTGTACGTTCTTCAGGGTAGGAACTGTCTCTCACCCAACTTGTCTAATGCCTAGCACAGTAGGAATCAGATGCCCTAGGTGAGATCAGAGTTTTACTGTAATCCTGGTAATAATGAGGCACAGGCAGAGGTGAAAGTAAGCCGGTATGCCCTGGTACGGCGTACCGGTAAGAGCCGGTGCGCCATATCAGGACTGGCTTTCAGAGACGGCAATTTAAAGCCCTGGGGTAGCAGTGGCGGGGCTCTGGCGGGGATTTAAAGGGCCCTGGAGCTCCAGCCGCCGCTACCGCCCCGGCCCTTTAAATCCCCTCCGGAGCCCTGCTGCCAAAGCCCTGGGGTAGCGGTGGTGGGGCTCCGGCGGGCATTTAAAGGGCCGGGGCAGTAGCGGCGGCTGGAGTACCGGGGCCCTTTAAATCCCCAATGGAGCCCGGTCACCACTACCCCAGGGCTCAGGCAGCAGGGCTCAGGCCGGGATTTAAAGGGTCCTGGGAGGGTAGCGGGGGCTGGAGCTCCGGGGCCCTTTAAATCCCCGCCAAAGCCCCGCCACTGCCGCTACCCCAGGGCTCGGGCAGCAGGGCTTAGGCAGGGATTTAAAGGGCTTGGGGCTCTGGCAGCTGCTACCCCAGAGCCCCAGGGTAGCGGTGGCAGCCGGGAGCCCCTAGGGCTCCTCAGTGATTTAAAGGGCTCGGGGGGTTAAGGCCACGCCTCTTCCGGTTGGGGCCACGCCCCCTGCTCAGGACTCCAGCGTACCGGTAAGTCCTCTAACATACTTTCACCCCTGGGCACAGGGCACTTGCACAAAGTCTCTGGGATCTTGGGGAACCTCCAGGCTTGGGGAGAGGCTCCAAGATGAGCTGGGGGGCAGAGTGGATAGGGAAGGGAGTCTTTGCTAAGATTACCTCCTGCCAGAACCCTGTACCAGAAGTGGCGCTTGGATCTTCAGTGAATGAGGAATGGCCAAAATCATACAAGCTAGCAGACAAAAATATCCCTTCTACACTGCCATCCCACAGAAATCTGTAATTTTCCCCACCTTGATCCTAAGCCAAAGAACAGCCTTGTGTCCTTCTTTCTTAGACCAGAATCAGTACCATTAGGTTTTACTGAAGGAATCCAAATGGTATCAACACTTCATTGCAGAAGTACTCCTAGATTCTTCCTGACCCCATCCTCCTGCCTCCCCTTTCCCCCCACCACACACTTCATTTGCTTCTCAATGTTCTTCAGCTTTTCAAAATTCTCATGTACAGCAGCCAGGCTAATAGTGTCTGGTGTTTATCCCAGTATGCCTACAATAATAATGGTTAGAGTATGTTTCCATCAGAAAAACCAGTTTCATTTTTTGTGTTCATGACACTTGCTCCTACTTCAATTGGGAGGCAGGAGGCAATTTCAGCAGGATGCACGAGTGATCCCAGGGCAACGATGTCATGCTTTAAAAACTCCTCAGCTCAGTTCCACAGTAGCTGTGTACAACAAAAGTAACCTTTTTGCACAATTTAAATGATACAAATTCAGAATAAAAATTATTCAGGACTGGACTCCTCTCTTCAGCCAGCCTGTGTAAACTATCAGTGGCCCCGTGTGTTTAGCTACTGTAAGGGGACTGTTGCCCCCTTACTAACATTCAGTGGGGGTGTTCTAGTTGCTAGCTCCCAGTACTAAAAAGGGGGAAGGGTTGATGGGGAATCAGGACCCTGAGACTGACAGCCCCCAGGAACAATGGGGAGAGGCCAATGCTCCAGGTCAGCCTGAATGACAGGGCGGGCAGGCTAATCAGGGAGTCAGGAGGCCAGGGAGGTCCCGTCCTCCATGTGAGCCGGAATTGCCTGGGTCACACAGAGTGGGGCCGAGCTAAGGAGAAAGCAGGGGTCCGAGCTGAGCTGGGGTGCAGAGCTGTGCTAGATCTGGAGAGAGCAGTCCCTGTCCTGGGAGCAGAGCTACAGCCCCAAAGGCACAGCCCAGAGAGAGCAGACTTGCCCTGGGAGGAGAGCTGCTGCAGCAACCAGAGCCAGAGGGCCCAGAAATGCAGCCCAGGAAGCAGGTCCGTGCTAGGAGCAGAGTCACAGAAGCAGCCTGCAGAGCAGACCTTTTCCTGGGAGCAGAGCTGTAGCAACCAGAGGCAGAGGGGCCAAAGAAGCAGCCCAGGGAGCTGGAGGCAGAGCAGCAGAGACAGAGTGGTGGGGCTGGAGCTGGGGCAGTCCGGAGCTGGGTGTGGTGAGCAGCTGGGAAGAGCGAGGGGGACCCTGGGCAGCGGGCCCAGCACAGGCAGACGCCTCAGCCAAGAGGCTCTGTGGGCCAGGCTTGGATCGTAACCCCGACTGGGCGGGGGCAACACTTGGAAGAAGGGTCCTACCACTTAGAGCCTGAGAGCATGTGGCCACCACCAGAGCAAGTGTCCAGCCCACAGCATTCCTGCAGCACTGCCAGGGCTGGAGAAGGCAGCCTGGGACTTACAAGGAACAGACTGTGAACTGCCCTGGCATTCCAGAGACACTGTTTGTGATGTTCCCTGCCACAGAGTGGGGTGATGTGTTTCCTGTAACCTTTCCCATTTTTCCTTATTCTTTTTTTAAAATTAATTGTTGATTAAATAACTTTAACTTGTATGTAATGGTCAGTGGGTCAGAGAAGTGCCCAGGGCAGAGAGAGTACCCCGGAGTGGGGACACCCTAGCCCCTGTCCTAGGTGACCACAGCAGGGTTGGGGGTTGAGCCCCCCAGGAATCCCTGGGCCCAGCCTTGTTGGGGTATGAGGATTCTGCCAGACAGGAGAGTGAAAGGGGAGTCTTCAAGGACAGGGAGGCCACTGGGTAAAGGAAGTGGGAGCAAGGACTCGGATCCTTTTGCTAGCCCACTTCACTGGGGTAGTGCAGAAGCCAGGAAAGTTCCCCACAATAGCGGGACTATTCCCCTGCTTACACTACCATTTCATTCTATCCAGAAAACACTTCTTCATCTTGTGCTATCTGTCAGAATTGCATAGTCACTTCTTTACTCTGTATTTCTTTAACTATATTCACAGTACTAGTCAAAATGTCTCTTCTTCCCCTTCCCCCGCCACCAAGAAAGCAAGAAGAGGGTTGGGAACGGGAGTGTCTCAGATCCACAAGTCTGGTGCTTTGGAACAGTCCCTGGGGAGGACCCCTTTAGTGTGTTGAGCCTGTTCGGGTCGCATTCTCACTGGGGTAAGTCCCTTGATTTTACCACCTCCTGGGACTGAACTTTGGAGCCATCAGCACACCTGCTTCGCTCCGTGAGCTCCCCCTCAGTGAGTGCACCTGAACTGAACACTTAGGGGAGACTTGTACAACCAAAGGGAGCAATGCACCCCTGACTCTGGAGTGGCGCAGCCAGCTTGGTAAAAACAGAAGGGTTTGTTAGATGTCTGGAAAATGGCATAGAAAGTCTTTCTGTTTAATGTAGAGAACAGAAAAGTCCATCTGGATCAGCCCAGAGCCCTCCTCCAATCCCTCTGTAGTCCCAGTCCAGAAGCATCTCCTCCTTCCAGCAGCCCCACACTTAACAATCCCGAAGGGCTCTTCCTTAAACATTTGTTCTTGTTCCTGGGAAAACATCGTCACCTGGCCCTTTGTTCTCCAGCTGGTCAAACCTGTCTGGCATCCCGCAGAGGGTGGGTCCCTCTGGTCATTAGTTGTTAGGTACCAAATGGCCAGGCAATTGTCTGGGCCCAGGCCACCGACAGCAAGGAGTCGGTCACATCTAGGTCTAGGGAATAAACCTTTCCCCCATGCCTAGTTAACCATGCAGCATGTAGGGGAAATTGAGGAACACACATTCTTAATACAAAATATTATGAACTATTCCCCTCTATCACAGGGAGCAATCCAAATTTTTAAACTGTCAAGCCTTTCAGGCTCTTTTCCTTGAAACCCTGAAATCTACATGGAAAATGTTAAAAGAAAATCTTGTCGTAGCAAGCATTTTCTGAGGAAAAGATTCACATTTGTTCATCAGGTCTAGACTCTGGTGTTGCTGTACTCACACCTGCTGATATTGGGGGTGGAGGGGCATGATCTCGACAGCCCTGTGACTTGGCTATCTCCATATGATAGAATGCCCTCTTGAGGTCATGGGCAGCTGGCACAACTTAAATCACCCTTGAGATTGCAGTTAGTTGTGGGGGACCATGATCAAGGGAGGATTAAAAAAGGGTCTAAGCCACTCTTGCCAAGGTAGCCCTCCGGAGCAGCACTGGGAGGTGATTGTCTGTGTAGAACAAAAATGAATTAACCCGATCCAAAGCTAAAGAGTGCATTTTTTCAATTAAATGATCTATCTTCATTGTGGGGAACTGACTTTTCCCTTTACTAGGCACTTTTCTATAGTGTGACTTTAAAAAGTAAACAAACTGCTCCATTCCACATCTCTAAGGTGCAGATGTGGCTCTAACCTAGGACCTTTTTTAAGGTGATACTTGGATGAAGGTGACAGAGAAACTGAAAGCATACTAGTGATACATCATCTCATACAAATAAAAACACATGTTCAGCTTCACTTAGTTACGTTATGGCTTCTTTGGAGCCAAGAAACAGCTGTGATGTGATTACTTGCTGTTAATAGAATGGGTTGGAATATAAAATCTGTAAGAATATACTGGTTGGGTAGAGACCTGCACAACAAAGGAAAATAGATGTTTAGCAGGCTAACTTTTTGTATCTAGATCTCCCAAACTGCACCAAATGCTCTGCCAACACATTGCAGGTGACCTACTGTGCTGTGAGGATTATTTTGGACCTCAGAATGTATTAATCTAGATTGCACCTCTGCATATGTTAACCATTTCTTTCCGTTTCTCTAGCAACCCTCATGCTAGAGGGTCCCAGTGTATCACAACAAGGAGAAACAATAATGCACTTGGTACATACAGTAATCTATACACACTCACCTAAATCTGAGAGCATTTGTCATATGTTGTAAAATGAATTAAAATATACTCCTCTTTGGATAGAGTAAACATCTTTCAGTTCACTTGACTTAAGCACCTTAGATCCAAACTGTACATCTAATGCGACTAGAAAAAGGAGAGGGGAAAACATGCAGAAAACTTAAACCTGAAATCTTCCAACAAAGGAAACAAATTCCTATTTTTCAACCAACTTCACCCATGAGTGTGGGAGACCGTTTTCACAGGAGCACAGACTATGCGCCTTGCTCCTGCAAAGATAACCAGCTCAGATCTTGCAGCAGTCCGAACTGAATATGAAACTCTCATGCAAAAATAAAATCCTGATAACTAATCAAGCTATTACTTTTACAGGCTGGGAAGCAGGAGAGGAGTTTCTATCTCAAATACTGGGAGGCACTTAAATACAGCAGTAATGCCAGTGGGGGTATATGTTGGATCGGTGCCATTTTAGCAGTTCTGTCCATCTGCTCTGTGTGCCCTTGATGAAACTGCAGCTGTATGATCCACCACCAGTAAGCCAGGCAATTTACAAACTCAAATATCCCTCCCATAGGGAAAAGCTGGGTCAAGGTGCTAAGGGTTGTGAAGTAGCAGTGTCTGAACTAGTCAAACTCTAGAACCCACAGTGTAAGTGCAGGTTCAAATGAAGGCAAAACGAGTTTGCAGCTCTCTTCCACCAGTTCTTTTTTTTTTTTGTCTTAAAATATTTTTTTTTAAATTGTGCTGTGTAATAGAATTTCTTGGCAGGAATTAGAACAGGCTGTAAACCCTACATTACAGCCTACTGCAGTTTGTGTAATTCTGAGAATTTAGTAAATGAAACTGAATATTCACTTATGCTTTGACATAACTTTGGGGGGGAAAGTAATAATACTAAATGATGGTGGCTCTCTTTGTGCTACTGTTTTTTCTTTGTCATCAGCCAGCTGCAAAATAGCAGCCATGTACTTGATGCTATTCAATGGCACAGCAGGAATGGGGCTTAGTGCCAAAGTAATTATACTCTGTTTAGACTTGAGCCACCTGATGTACTGCATATGGGCTTATATACTGTAATGCAAATCCCGTGTGTGTGTGTGTGTTACACAGGCTTGGAACCCAGTGTACAACGATTTGAAAAATGCTTTTTAAACAAAACCCATGCTGTCTGTCCTTGCTCACTTTCAAAATGCGAGGCATGAGCCAACAGGATAATGCCAAATGTCCATAGTAAATATTCTACACACTGACTCACTGCTATCAAGGACAAAAGTGACAGACATGGCTGGGGAAAGTGAAAATAAAAACCTTTGGTTTCACAGAATGTTAATGTCCCTCACCATGCTCATCAACAGGTTAAAATATCTACCTTAGCAATGGTTCTCCTAAGCCTATTTTTGGCTGAACTGAGGTTTATCTCAACAGGATGTCTAGTATCAGAAATATCTTGTGTTTCTAGATATCCCATTTTCAGTATTTTTCTAAAAAACATCATCTAACCAAGAGATCTACCAGTAACACACTTCTGTTTTGAGGACAGCTTGAGCAGCACAGATGTTAACTACTGAACATCTGTATCCCTCCTCTTATCCTGAAGAATGCCAAAGTGTTTGGTTGCAAATCAAAAAGAAACAATGCCTGCAAATTAGAAGGCAACTTCTGTCTAGCAGATGAACAAGAATTATGATTTAAGAGTCTGTATCATGCTTGTAAAATACACAACCCTTTTCAAGATTTTAGAACTTAACACTCCGTTGTGTTTGGTCAGTGAATTCTGTATTGTTTTCTAATTTGCTTTTATAATTATGTATTTAAGTACTGCACAGTTCCATATTTGTTGTACATATGGAATCTCTGTATTACTTAAGTACTATTACAGATTTACAGAATGTGGTATGTAACATCACATTATACAACTGTGGGTTCCTGATTTCCACACCTAAGCTGCATGAAAATCTCAGCCTTCAAAGTTCAGCTACTTCTTGTTTTAAATCGACTTGCCAACTACAGAGAAGAATTGGGAATCAAAATTAATCATTGCTATTATACTAAAAATGAGTTTGGCCCTTTGCTTTTAAAACTATATATTTTTGACTACCAAGAAATAGCAGTATGGATTTATAATCTTCCTATATTTTGGTTATAATTATGACTACAAAAACACTTGCAATGAAGTATAAATTTCAGTAACGGAAACTGTGTGGTACTGCCATGAAATTAATAATCTCTTTGAGTGTCCCTTATAAATTCATGGAAACTAGCTGTTCAGTAACAGCGGGTGAGAAGGCACAGTTGATCAGTGGCGGCTGCTGCTGCTCTCACCAGGGACAACAGTAAGGCATTTACAGTTTTTTGTATTCCATACCACTGCAGATTCCTTTAAGGCATATCCTGCTGCCTTCCCAAATATAGTTTGCATCACAAAGCCCTTTTTGTCTTCTGTCGCGATCCAGTTTAGTATTTAACCTTTAGTAACTTTAAAGTTCAGCACTGAGCCTTCAAAAGAGCACATGCCTACCAAGGTCCAGCTTATATCAAAAGGATGATTGATCTCACTTGTCCCACACAGGAAAATATGCAAGTCATGCAAATGTAGCCAGGAGGATCACAGCTTGAGCTCTGATGCAGAAGATGATCGGAAAATTGGCCGCTTGTTGTCTGACTCAAAGTATTCTACGCTCACTGCCCGGGTGAAAGGTGGCGATGGTGTTCGCATCTACAAAAGGAACCGCATGATCATCACTAATCCTATTGTGTCTCGGAAAGATCCAACGTTTGACACGATAACTTATGAGTGGGCTCCACCAGGACTGACCCAGAAGCTGGTAAGGATTTGCCAGTTGAGTAATATGTTCTGCATTGCGTAACAAAGGCCCTATTGGAAACATTACCATTAAAAAGTATTAGAACCTATGGTTTCTCTTGGAGTTAAAGTTCATGCCATGGTTAGTGTAGTGCAAAAACCACACAAGTGCAGAAATAACTTCAGTGGGTTCAGGCTGCAACCATAGTGGTGGCTTCTGTAGGTTGATGTATTTGTTTTTGGATTTTGGGGGATGCATACGGGGGTTAGGTTCACTTACATTAATGTTTCCCCTAGAAATGTATTTTAAGAATGGAAAGTCTACCTCATTCATCCAGTTAATGCCCAGTAAAAACATTGGAGCGGACAACCTATCTCTGTTGTACATCTGGTTATACTAAATCTGTGTATTCCACATAAGTGTTTTTTAAGCTTAAAAAACCAGACTAATGTTTCTCAGCTTTCTTCAGAATGGTCATAAGGAAGATGGCATGTTTCAGTTTGTTTCAAAGCTAAACAATCGGGATGCTAATCTTTCATGAATAGATGCCTTGGGTGCTTGCTGTGTTGGTCTGACTCGCCTGCAAATCTAACTGTAAGGCCTACTGAAATTCTGGTATACTTATATGAAGGTGGTTTAATGTGACAGGAGTCTGGGTTTTTTCAACCAACCTTTAAACTGTACTTGACTCCATTTTTCAAAAACAAGACCACTATATTAAAGCTGTAAGGACCAATGCAGCATCTACATGGGATGCTGTATTTGCAAATTTCCTGTATGAGTCTCGTTAAAAAATGAGCCATGGTCTCAACAGTAGATGTGAAATCTCCATTTAAACAGCAGTTTATTTTTTCTTGACCCTTTGAGGCCAACAATAGTGTGGGCTTAATTTGAGGTACAGTATCTCTCTTCATTAACCAGAAGCAGTCCGTGGTCATTTCCTGACATGTAAATCACAAACTGGTCTTAAATCTTTCTAGGATGAAGTATTACTTCCTCTTTAATGCTCTGTTGTATAGGCCTCTGGATTTGCTTTCCTAAGCTATTTCTGCACAGAGCCAAACTATAACAGCCATTGTAAAAATGGTGTTTGCTTTGTGATTTAAGCTGTAATAGCTTTTGTAGCTTGCTTTAGGACTTAAAGTAAGACACTGATGTAAGTGATAACTGGCTAATAATAAGAACTATGCATGCAAGTTTCACATTTTTGCCACTTACAGATATGCAGAACGACCAGTTAATACCGTCCCTTAAAGGCAGACTTCAAAGTTGGGGAAGATGCTTATTTATAGTACCAACAGAACACTAGACAGCAGACAGATAAGAAAGACCAGGTCCCTGCCCTAAAATCTACAGATTCAGGCCCCACGACCATAAGAAACACTTGCTCAGACTAAATTCGTTTGCTTACTCATGTGAATAATCCTACTGAACGCAATGCTTTTGCTTGTGTAAAGACTAGCGCTCAATACTGCCAACCCAGGCCCATGACAATAAATGACTTGCATCTGTTAACAGTTTGCCTCTCTAACTATTGTTGCTCTTCCAGTTGTTTGCAGAGGGGCAAGTACAATCATCCCCCGTTCAACGGAAATCAGCTCTCTCTCCCAGAATGGTCAAGCGCCAGATACTACTCTCACAGAAAAGCTTTCTCCTCCTTTCTGTCTTGTCCTGAATCTGTTGGACTCAGAAGTCTTGTCAGAACAGGATTTTTTTTCATAGAATTCCAGTATCTCCTACTTCCAGCTGGCTTGGAATAGTGAGGAAACTAGGTGTCTCAATTACATCGGTGCTTCCAGTCTCTGGAAGCAAGTGCTGATGCATGAAAATAGGGGTAGTGAGCTGCAGGAGTTACATGAGGGACAAGTTAAGGAGTTTGGCTAAGAGAGGCATCGCTTATACTAGCAAATATCCTGCAGGGGCTCTGCATGACCTTCTAATGTTACAGGGTAGAGCGACTGACATAATACTTATGTTTAAAAGTTCATTGTCACTCAAAAGGAATGAGGATGGGATTGTCTGAGCACCTGTTTTAGAAATACAAGAGCAAATAAAATCTTAATCATCCATAGATTCTGTCAGCTCAAAAGCAGGTACAGAGACTAGGATTTACAATAGACTAACAATTGTCTGGAATACAAAAATGTTTATAACGTACTAAATGTTTCAGGGTTCAGATTAAAAATAGGGTGAAATCCTGGCCTCATCAGGTAAGTCTACACTGAATAAGACCCACATCATGACTCTGGCTGGCCCAAGTCAGCTGACTCGGGCTTGGGCTGCGGCCTGTACTATTGCTATGTAGAAGTTTTTGGGCCTGGGCTGGAGCCTGAGCTCTGAGATCCCATGAGGTGGGAGGGTCTCAGAATCTGGGGTCCAGAACGAGCCAAACGTCTACACAGCAATATTACAGTTCTATAGCCTGAGCGTGAGTCCGCTTACCAGCCCAGCTGCAGATATTTAATTGCTGTGTGGACATTCCCATTATAGCCACTGGGAGTTTCACTGTTGAGTTGAGCAGGATTTCACCCATTTTGTACAGCAGATTGTTTGTTTAAAACTTGCTTGTGGGAAACCAGAAACTTTCAGCTTCACTTACATATATAGCTAGCAACTAAACTAGGTTGCTGCTGTGTCCACGCACAGAGTGTGCGCTATATTGTAATATTTGCCCTAAGCTCTTTAGGATGCTAAGTAGCACACTCAGGATATGTACTGTGAATTGAGATCCATACATACATGAGGGCGATTTGAAATATGGGACTTGGCACAAATTCACGGCAAGTAAGAAGGAGCATAACCTAGTTAGTGACTGGTCAGTCAGCATCCAGTAGTATCCAGATCATTGCTGCTTATTAAAGTGTCTTGTGTGCTTCAGTTCTTCTAAAAAATGTTTACTCTAGCTGGTCCTTTATTAGCTTGAAATCTTTGCGCATGGGCTTTATTTATATGGAACTGAAATGTTTGATATCCACTATACATAAACATATCTTTGTGTATTCTGAGGCACAAAGGCCATCCATCCATAAATATCATGGTCTGCTTTTTAGCAAACATAACTGTTTCAACAATTATGAAGCTATTTATTTAATACCTGCTTTCTCTGAGAACCAACTATTGCTGAGCTCTTCAGGCTTACATGACAAATGTTTGCCATGTTAGCAAGTGCCATCTTCCTCTTACCCCCTTCTTGTCTAAAAGGCAAAGGGAGTATAAAGAGAAATATCTGGACACAGGTGTCACTGAAACAAACTGCGAGAGACTGGATGGTTGGACTGTAACTTATTTTTCCTTAAGCGTCCTAAGTCAGTAGCTAGGAGCCCCACTGTTATCTGGTGTCTGGTTGTATTTATTGCATAGGGAAACCACTGAAATGAGCCTTATCACATCGGCACTGAAGCTGAGACATTTCTTACAGCTAAATACAGTCTAGACCAAATCAGCTGCTTAACTCAAAAACAAAATTAAGTTTTGAGTATTTGAGCCAAAAGGGGGTTCTTCACCATCCGAATGGGTAGCTGGATTTTAAAGAAAACAAATCAGATCACACATTCTTTTCTATGCCCACTATTTGGACTTGGTATATAATGCAATTATGGGAACAAATGAAAACATTTTAAAAATATTTTGGAAGTAAACTAACCAATAGAAGGACTTTTAGGGGAATTTGAGTGCTCAGATAGCTTTGAGCTATGTGCTCTGGTATTTAAACATCCTATTTACACACACACCCACACACACACACACACACACACACTTCTGAGGGTGTCTTTTCCTCTTCAAATTTAAGCTAGGATGATTTTTAGGCTGCTCTAAAAATTCTCTTCTATGCTCCAAAGAAGGATTTAGAAGTAAAGGTAAAGTTGCAGGATTCATCAAATCAGGGAGGCATACATGGTATTTATTTCTTAACTAAACTGTCTTCCCTGTTCGGGGAAAAACAGACAGGTTATTGTTCACTAGAATTGTGCAACTATGTAATCACATTTTTTCAATGAAAACTAGAGCACTGTGTTGTAATAGGAGGCCAAGAATCCATCTTATTTGACTGTCTGGCTATTTAATCAAGCAGCTACTACTGGTGGTGTGGGGCGGGGGAGGTTATTTTTATTTTTTTTCTTAAAGAACAAATACAGCTGGAATGTATGTTTAACCAGTGTTTGTCTTTCAGAGTCCCAGGGGAGATAGGAAGCTTGCTGGGGGATCCAGAGAACAATAATGGCAGTTCTCCAAAGTAACATGATTTTTTTTTTTTTTAAAGCACACTGCCCAGTTTAGATTTACCAGAAATCCAATTTTCACCATGATGAAGGCTGGCTATTGAATAGTGCTGCTTGGACTAGACAGCACTGTGGGAGGGTTTATTTTCTATTCATGGAATTAAAATTATTCATTCAATTTAGATCTTTACTTAACTCTTAATTCATAGTCATATTGCCCTTTTATGGTTCTGAATCTACCACATGCCTACTGGTAATCATGTGTCTATACCAAATGCAGTGTATATACTGTTCAGAGAGAACATTTGGAGAGCCTCCTGGTGGTTGGGCAAGTTGCCTGGCCTTAAAGTTCAGACTGACTAAAGAGCTGTAAATTAGATTCTTACAGACATAGCAGACTAGGGTGTTCAATGGGGATCTCTTTTCTTCCCTCCTCCCCACACCCCAAAAAAGATTCTGAACCCTTTGATAATTTCCAACATGATTTTGATTTGTTAGACTATTTTTGTTGTAAAATTACATTTCCAGTAAACACAAATGTTCATTAACTTTGAACATTGATAAAAGTTTTGGTTAAATTGATAAACATGACATTTTCATGAAAAATTCTGAACATCAACAGTTTTTGTGAAAAGCTTGAAAAGGGCCTTTGGGGTCAGAAAAACCTCTAATCAACCAGCAGTAGTGACTTTTTCCCTTCTGAATAGAAAGTGGAAATTAGGGATTTTTCTTAATGTTGTCCTGAAGTGGCTGGCTCAAGACCAGAAGGCAGTAGTTCAGTGCTTGTTTTCAATGAGCTGGGTCTGTGTAAGTAATTAAGTGGGTATCCAAAATCCCAGTGGAAAATTAAGAGAACAGTTTGCAAACTATCTGAATAAAATAGTCGGGGTGAAAAGTGAAAATGTTTTTGTCCTAAATTATCCAAGTGAAGGTAACCTAATAAAACATTTGACTATACATTATAGTAGCAAAAGAAGAAGCTCATTCTTATTACCAAAAAAGAACGGGAGTACTGGTGGCACCTTAGAGACTAACAAATTTATTAGAGCCTAAGCTTTTGTGGGCTACAGCCCACTTCGCTGGATGTATAGAATGGAACATATAGTAAGAAGATAGATTATATATACACACAGAGAAGGGAGAAGTTGCCATACAAACTGTAAGAGGCTAATTAAAATGAGCTATTATCAGCAGGAGAAAAAAACTTTTGTTGTGATGATCAGGATGGCCCATTTAGACAGTTCACAAGAAGGTGTGAGGATACTTAATGTAGGGAAATAGATTCAATATGTGTAACAACCCAGCCATTCCCAGTCTCTATCCAAACCCAGGTTAATGGTATCTAGTTTGCATATTAATTCAAGCTCAACAGTTTCTCCTTGGAGTCTGTTTTTGAAGCTTTTTGTTACTAAATTGCCACCCTTAAATCTTTTACTGAGTGGCCAGAGAGGTTGAAGTGTTCTCCTACCGGTTTTTGAATGTTAGGATTCCTGATGTCAGATTTGTGTCCATTTATTCTTTTGCGTAGAGACTGTCTGGTTTGGCCAATGTACATGGCAGAGGGGCATTGCTGGCACATGGTGGCATATATCACATTGGTAGATGTGCTGGTGAACTCTTGTTACCACTGAATCCAGTCTTCACTGACCGGTTGGACTTCTCTGTCCTGTTCTGCAGTCACTTAAGCATTTCCTTCATCTGGAAGGGGGAGAGTACACTGTATCTGGCCCTGTCTTAAAGATGGCCAAGCTGACCAATACCTTTCTGAGGCTTAGAAAGGCTTATGAATTTTGCTGTTTTTCATTTTCTTTGCTAACACATTATTTTAAAAAAAAATCTGGCACTGGAATAAGATGCCTTTGATAGGTATGTTGACATTTATATTGGTCTCATGGCTCTGCTATAGGAGTACATTAGTCCTGCCAAATTCTTATTAAAGCCTTTCATTGAGGTGTGCCGGGTTTTGTCTTTTGTGCTGCAGCTGAACTAGGTCAGCAGATTTTGAGCTGTCTAGTCTGTTATCTTTAATATTCTTGGATAAACTGCCTTGACTCTTTTCCCACTCAATAAATGCTTATGGTAGTATAATCTCACATATTTATTTCATTTCTTGTGGAAGCTATGTCTATGTGATACATTTGATTGTGCTTAAAGTAGCTGCAGCGTTTCTGTAGCTTGCTTTAGATTTATGACAGATACATATGCATAAAGGTTGGGCCAGTGTTGTTTTCCTTGTGTGGTCTTCTGTGGAAACCCTTCTTTCTTAAGGATCAACATTTTTAAGGGAGCCTCAACGTGATCTTGAGTTTAGTACCAACAGCTGTCTTTAGGACACTTCTTTGGTGGGGTTGTAAATTATCAGGAGCAAAAATCAACACTTTTAAGACCTCTTTCCATTCACAAGGTAAATAGACAGTTTGTCTAAACACCACTGTTTGCAACCACATTTATTTACACTGCCAAAAATGTGGGGTGAAAACCTGGTCTTTGGGGAACTGAATGGGCATTTAACCATTGACTGATTTCTGTGGGGCCAGGATTTCTCCCATTAGTCTCCTTTTCTAGTTGAGCTCTGAAATCAGATGGAAATTTCATGGTATTTCTGAAATGTCTTTTTGCTAAAGATAGTTGAGGAGTGAATTTACATTAAGGTGTGTGTTTTTTGTTTGTTTGTGTTTTTTTAACAACTCTCTTATTGGCTGTTTAATGTTTGCTACTCTATGTAAACAACTTCTCTACCCACTTAAGACATACACTAAACAGTTAATAGTCTTTCATTCCATTACTGTTCTATTTGTAAATGCTGACAAAGTAAGATGCAAATCTAATGCAGCTGGATGCTGGTCTTAAAAGTGAATGTCAGGCAGCCAACTGGCTGCCTACTAGCTCTTCACACTAAAGTAGGAAAAAGGTCTCCAATGGGAAACTCCCTTTCCTTTAAGATCTATGCCAGAAATCACTTAAGTGTACAGAAAACATCCTCCTGCAAATGTTAATTCAGCATGGGACAAGACTTGTCATAGGACCAAAAAAGCTATGAATTCAATGGCCAACTGGCTACCAAGGGAATCTTCCATCAGATTAACTTTATTCAGAGAGCTGTTTCCTAATTGCCCTCTTGCAAATTCTCTCTTCACAGTAATGAGGTATGAAGCTGCTGACCACCATCCATATATGACAAAATCAGTAGTGCAGTAATGTTGGTGGCCATCTATTTCAAAGCTGTCAGTTCAGTAGTCACTGAACTTCTTATTGGCATATAGGTTTATCTAGCAGTGGGGGGGGGTGTGCCCCGCTTCCCTCCCCCCCCGCCCCCGATTTGTTGCTTGGCTTATACTGAGTGTGCTCGCACAGACTGAACGTGCTCAGTAACACTGTTGAAGCCAGCTGCCCTCACTCTGCCCTGCCCCCCCCCACACACATTGGGAGGCATGGGTAGTCCTCTGGGTTTTCCCTTTAAACAATGGATAAAATGTATGTGTGCAATTCTTGAGGTTTATAAGCTGTAGTTTTTGGTTATACAATGCTATAGACTTGCCTCTGTCTCTCTCTCTCTCTCTCTCTCAGTTGTAATGACTGGAAGCCACCTGGCTGTTGGAAGCCACCTGGCTGTTGGCAGCCACTTTGTACAATCACTCAGCAATAGGACGGAAGTCTCCTGATGTACTCTGTTCTTGTTGTAGCCTTTTACCTGAAAGTGCTCCTGCGGGCATATTTTAACCTAGAACATTTAGGGGCTACTGTACTCGGGTAAGAAGCAACCATTATTCAAAAAAAATCTAGACGTGCCAGCTTTCCACAAGATGGGAGAATACCTGGGTTCAATGATGTCTTCAAGGAATTCATTTTCTTGTTAGTAAACACTGTCTTTTTACATCTAAAAGGCTTGTCTCTTCAGGAAGACACTGGCTGCAAATAGATGTAAGCCTCTTGACAAATTCTTAGCGTGGTGGGGGTAGAAAACTGGCTTTTCTGGGTGTTTTTTTTTTCTCTGTCAATGCTTAACAAGCCATTGGATGCTGAGTGAAAAGGGCATGGACATGGAACCTGGAATTTTGGTGTCATTCTAATTTATGCTGCCTTTCACTAGCACTGCTAAATAAGGTCCTGATGCAACTCCTAGTTAAGTAATCTGGAGCTGGATGGGGACCATAAGTGGGTAGCTGCTTTCTGTACTAGCTGAGGCTTTCAATAGAAGCCCTTCAAGGAGCATACTGTAGTGATATGATGGGGCCTTGGTGAAAGGGTGGCGGGGCCTGAATCAGAGGAATGATTTGTCATCCTAACCAGATGTGGATGGGATAAAGCTCTTCTGGCCAACAATTCTTTTTTCAATATCTTGGAACAGCTGAGATCCCAAAAGCCACTGTCAATGCAAATGATATGAATAAAACTATAAAGACATGCCACATATCAACCCTGCTATACCTGCTAGATGCTTCCCTTCATTTTAGAAGGGGAAAATTGACTGACTCTAATACAATACACATTACTACTCTAGCTGGCTTAGTATTAAATACTGATGCAGTTATGCACAAAGATGTATGAACTAGTCTTCTAGTTGTCTAGACATAATTGAGCTGATCACACACTTCAAACTTCTTCTAATAGCTCATCTGAAGCTAAAGAATAAGGGATGACTCTGAACTTGAGTGAATTTTTATTTTTTAGTTTCTAGATACGCTTGTTAGGCAAACAGCTTTTTGAAAAAAGTCTCTCCTGGCAATCAAAAACGTTGATTAGAATGGCTTGTTTATGTAGACTAGAACTCTTATTTCTTTTTTTCTTTTTGGTTTTTTTTAATGCTAGGAAGGGACTTCTGAAGGAAGTCTATTAAAATAGAAGATGTGTTGGCTCAGATAATTACACAGGCTTACCCAGACCTATTAGAGTTGGACAGGCTATTTAGATGACTGTGAGAGCCATGTATATTGGGATGGACACAAGAATGTGGCTAGGCCACCAGACTGCTACACAGAAGACCTGTATTGAAGGTCTAGCACTGCCATTGACCAGCCTGGTGACCTTGGGTAACTTGGCTTTTTACAAATGGGGATCATAATTTTGTAAAGTGCTTTGATTCCTACAGATGAAATGCATTCTATAAGCACTAGATATAATACTATATATGATAGTATTTCCATTCCTGGTCACACGGAGAATGTGTGAGTTGAGCTAAAATATCAAGTTGGCTGATCTCTCTAGGTATTTATAGAGCTGGTTGGGAAAAACAAGAAGGAAAAACAAACATTTGACACTTTCCCGTCTCTCATCCAAATTTTATTTGAAAATTTGAAAAATTTTGACTAGCTCTTCCTTCAAAACTCAAACTTAGCTTCCAGAAGTTCAGCCTACCTTTTTATTTTTGTCTGAACGTGTTCATCTTAACTGTAAAATTATTAAGCATACACACAGAGCTAGTACTTCTCTGTAGGAACCACTTTGAGAATATTGATTTTCTTCCTTCTCCCTACATCAGGCTATACAGTACATGGAACTGATTCCAAAGGATATGCAACCAGTCGCTGGCACGGAAGGGGCATCCTATCGTCGTAGGCAGTTAATGAGGCAGCTCCCTGTTTATGACCAGGACTCTTCCCACTGCCATGACCTTGCTGAAAGTGAGATAAAGCTTATGGAAGATTTTGTAAAGAAATATAAAAGTGATGCTCTAGGAGTTGGTGAAGTTGCACTTCCTGGCCAAGGTGGCAGTGCCAAGGAGGAAGGGGAGCAACACCACAAAAATGCAGCTGCAAGTAAACCACCTGTTTCAGCCAATGGAGCCCTGAGTGATGCACCAATGGGAGTGGAGTATGTAAGTATCCTTACTTCTGTGAAGTTCTTGTGGATGCAGACATTACTGCAGGCTGAGTTCCCATTGCCCACACAACTTTCAAAAGCATTCAATGTTGGCCCAACCCTGCTCTCATTGAAAGTAGTGTTCGGAAACATTATCCCACTAGGAGGGTGGTGAAGCACTGGATGGGTTACCTAGGGAGGTGGTGGAACCTCCATCGTTAGAGGTTTTTAAGGCCCAGCTTGATAAAGCCCTGGCTGGGATGATTTAGTTGGTGTGGGTCCTGCTTTGAGCAGGGGGTTGGACTAGGTGATCTCCTGAGGGCTCGTCTAACCCTAATTTCTATGATTCTGAGTCTTCACCCAACATTGATCACGTCTTAAAAATCTCTCCCTAAGTCAAAAGCTGACTACCTAAATTTACGCACGTGGAAAAAAGCAGCCTTGTTTTCATTACCTGCAGCTCCTATTAACTTCAGTGGGAGTTATGGGTTCTCAGCCCTTTAAAAATTAGACACTGTCTCAAGTTGGGCATGAGAAAATGAAGCGCACACACAGTTGGTGGCTTTATTTTACTACACCCATAAATTATTGAATAATTCAATTGGGTCTTCAACCCAAATAAAAGTAAAAATAACTTAAATAATAGCAGCAGCATTATATTTGAACATAATGCTTTGAACACGTAATGGTGGAGGCGCTCTGCAATGAAGTTACAAGAGCAGTTATTTTTAGATAAATCATAAACCTATGAAATATTAATACATCTGGAACCCATCATCCATAGATGTGCACAGCTGGGATTGAAAAATGCATTTCCGAAAGTATCCAGATTCTTCACCAGTCTGTGCTGCTTGGAGAATATAAATCTAATGTAACGTAAAGTTTAAAAGGGGTCTGAGGTGGTCAGCATGATCATTCCAAGAAACGCTTGTCATAAAATATATTCATTGAGCTGGAAACTTATTTCATGCTGACGCTTGCAAAAGTAACTTCAATGATGGATTGATTTTTAAAGCTGAAAAACTAACGTGTGAATTTTTAAGGCAATATTTTCTTGTAATTATTATACTGGGATTGTAGCATGTCAAAAGTGCGGTCACTTTTCATTCTATATCAAGTAAAGACCTCTTATTAACTTTCTCATTGTCCATGTCGACTAGTATGTAACTAGTCTGGGAATATACCTAAAGCTGTGTGAAGAATCACAAACTAAAAAATTTAGTATCCGGAAAAGGAAGGCTTCCATTAACTAATTTATAAAAGCCATCTTGGCACAAAGGGCTTATTTAGACTGGAAGTTTGTCCTTCCAAGCAAATACATAACTGTGGTGTTATTCTTCTAAGAACTTAAAGCTTTATTTTTGTTCAGGCACCAGCTGAAAACTGAAATTGTTTCAAAAATAGCACCAATGTCTCCCTTGTAATTAAGGTATCACATAGCTGAACTTTGAGGCAGTGCTGTAAAATTCCACAGCAGGCTTTGCCATACCAAAGAGTAATTGCACATTTCCCAGTCTAACAAGGGCATCCATTTTAGTATGACTTGATGCAGCACTTAACACAGCTGAACTGGCCTGAGTGGCTAGGATCTCAAAAGCTGAATGTGTTGAAGTCCTAAATTAATACTGGCTTTCCTAGAACTGCACAGGAATGAATCCTGAAAAACTAATTCTATTACAGAAAAACAAACAACGGGGTCAGATTCTCTAGCCTTTCTGTAATCACTGCTGTGAAAACTGGTAGCATTTTTACATCCACTTCATGCAAGTGTAAACAGGCAAGAAAAGTAGTATTAGGCCAGACAGAGATCAGGGCTGGCTCAGCCAATGCTGAGATTCCTGCAATGCTAATGTGACTCTTACTCTTCATTCTCCAGTGCCACATGATGTGCTAAACAAGCTGCTCCATGATAAGAGCTATGTGGTGACATTAACTTGTTTCCTGGTTCTCTGTCACTGCCTTTGTTAGAGCATATCATAGATTCCTCCCTCCTCCTGTCCACACCAACTCACATTTCCCCTTACTCTCAACACTGAAACATGCACACCAAGTACTGGGTGCACACTTTATTTTTCTTGCCTCTAAAAGTAGCATGGATGAAGGAAGGAGGCTGTGGGCTAAGGGTGTAATTCTGAACTTTGATTCAATGGCTTTATACCACAAGATTCTCATACTCCAGTGATGTTACACCTGTAAAAGAGCTAAGAATTGGGTCCTGAAACTTGAGAATTTCAATTAGGGGGCAAGGCAAGCCTGTGGCTTTGTGGGGGTCTATCTTAAATGCTAAGATGGGATGGCAGCTATAGAATATCAGGGTTGGAAGGGACCTCAGGATGTCATCTAGTCCAACCCCCTGCTCAAAGCAGGACCAAGCCCCAGTTTTTGCCCCAGATCCCTAAATGGCCCCCTAAAGGATTGAACTCACAACCCTGGGTTTAGCAGCCAATGTTCAAACCACTGAGCTATCTCTCCCCCCTATGAAGTGGGCTGCAATTCAAATCCTGTCCAATTTGTCCAAGCTAAGATGTGTATTGGTATTTTATTCCTCGAAGAGCCAGGCCAAGAGTACAGCAAATGGTATTCTAATACAGCATTTACCTTTCAATTAGTGAGAGGCCAAAACAATAGGGGAGATCTGAACAAAATAGAGTATACAGAAAAAGATGAATGTGAGAATTAATTTAAAGTTGCTTTAATGCAAAGGGATGTAAAGATACTTAGAGCAATCTTTTATTTGTCATGTAGACCGTTATCGCTTTAGATCCGAGTATTGCTATTATCTAATGCCACCATCTTCTGTGCACCTCCCAAAATCCTAAAGTGTAAGCCTGAATATTGCAACATCTTCACTACATGGAATGATTTATTTTTGTCTGTGGGATCTCGCTTCTACCCTCCCTACCACTGCTTCTCCTAGGAGGCTTCAATCAAATCGTTAAGCAATCTCCATGCCATCTGAAGCTGGCCTCAGAGAAGGAGTGTTTCATCTGTGGTCTTGGGATTTACCAGGACAGTAAGCTATACTTGTCAGTTTTCTGACACCCAAGATAAGAGGTAGAAGATATGAAAGCCAAGGTGGAGGGAGACAGCCAGTCTTGGGATCTACCAGGGTTACAGAACGTGACCTGGTAGGGTGTACTGTTGACGTTTTTTTCTCAGAATTCATTTCTGCAACATTTTGCTTGTTTTCTGTACCGAGGGTACAGACTCAGGTGTATCCAAAGGAAAGGTTTGCATGAATCCCAGCAGCTGATTTTTCACCCTGGCCTAATTCAAACAGACTTTGCTGTCAAGGAGATCAGATTGAAGTACAGAACTAAAACCTTGTGCAGGATGCTCGCAGCTTTGCATTGTGACAACAGTAACTACATGGGACCATTCCAGTTCATTTCTCTGTGCAGTATTTGGTCTCCCCTTGACAAATCCCTTCCTATTAATTGCACGCATCAATTGGCGAATACCTCTCTAATACCAGTCTTGAAATGGCTGTTGCACGCTCAGGCAGCTGTTTCCTATTGGAATCAAAGTGTATAAAGCAAAACTTATTGGATCCATGGAATCCTCTCCCTAAGGAAGGGAGCTGATCTCAAACCACTGTGGCTGCACTTTTTTCTGCCATGGGGGAGGAGTTCCGTAGCTATAACAGGACCGTGCTCTGACTCGATATCTCCTGTTAGCCAAACTAGTTTTCTGTCAGGTAGAAAACAGACTATTTCTGACCCACCCAGTCTCAAGAAGTGTTCCAACCAGCATGTTGGAATCCATCAAAATTAGCCACGGTTCCAAATAGTTTGAGGCCAGCAGCAGTCTAATAAATATTCAGTGGCAGCACAGACATATTCAAAAAGGAAGAAGTAGCTTCAACTGTGGAAACTTCAGTTGTAAAAGAGCTTTGAGAATGACTGGCTCTTTTGAGAGATCAAATTTTGAAACCATTCAATTTGGAGGAAGGGGGTAGCATTCAGTTACCCCAGGTGGTAGTCTGCAAATGAAGTATTCACTCATCCCCAGAGAAATTGAGCTGTAAGATAAGAGTGCCTTATTATGATCCCTACAAAAATGTGCAAAAGAATTTCATTTACCACAAGGAAGAAAAAGTGGAAATATTACTGTTTGCTGCCTAGTGAAGACTGAATAATTGACAGAAGAGGGAACAGAGAAACAAGTTCTAAATGTTTTTATTGGCAAGAAACATGAGCTTGAACCCAGGGAGGGGGGGAGTGTGTGTGTGTGTGTGTTTGTTTTTTGCTTGTTAATGTTGTGGTTTAATAGTCAGTTCTCCCAAAATCAGCAGAGTTGGGATGGGTCGGTTCTTAAAGATCTCCTTTATGAGGCAGCAAGCAAGCTCCAGGTTGCTGCTGAATACGATGGTGAATTCACTCGGTGGCCCTCTCCTCCCTGAGCCAGGACAGAACCAGTGTCCCCAGACTGATCTAGAGGGTTACAGTGAAGTTGCCAGTGTTCGGATGGTATGTAAAGCCCATTCATTTAAAGGAACCTCCAACGTATTTTCAGATTATATGACAATGTTTAGATTATCTAGATCTTTGGAAGTAAAGTCAAATGTTATGCAGCTTAATATTTTTTGTTTAAATTATATAATTGCACAAGCTACAAACCTGGAACACAGTCAAACCACATGCGTCCTGCCCCTCTGCCCACACCCCTTCTCCAACCACAGGACTCTCTCAGATTGTCAGAGATCCCAGAAACTGTCACTCTATACACACTGTTGGGGAAAAGCTTTCTGTCTTTCCTCTCTCTTCTGGTGCAAACACCAACATAATGGCTGTTTGCTCTAAACATGAGTTGGAGTCTTGAATTTTAATTCTTAACCTCTGATCGTCCATGACTCTTGCCACACTAAACTCTGTGAAATAGAGAGTTACTCAATGAAACAATTAATCAGGCAGAGCAATTTAAAGCACAACACATGTGAGACGAAGTTGCTTAAGCATTACATCTTGTTTTGATGAAACTTTAACAGTACTTCAAAGACTGCTCGTAGAAAATTGCCTTACAGCCAAAGGCTGTGCTGGATGAAATTTCAGCTGCCACTTAAAAAGCACTTCATTTGATGACTAAGAAACTAAAATGCTGATCGAGTGCGGACTCAGCAGCTACGAGGCAGACTCTGTCCATCCAAAATTGTAAAATGGGAACATAAAGAGCAACCTGTCAGCCACAATAAAGTCTTTTTTTGGCTATAGAGAATAGACCTTTTTTTAACTGTATTTTTAAAATGATTGCAGGATTTCCCATTGTGGACTATAAAATTAAATAAGCCTAACTGGTCCTAATTGTAGTACGAGCTCACATATCTCCCCAAGTACCTTCAGGTAGCTTTCACTTCCCATCCTTTGTGGGCATGTGGAGTTTGATTCTCTTACCTTCGTGTAAATGAAGGGTAATACCACTGATGTCCATGAAGCTCTACACTTGTTTTAAACAAGTGTATATGAAAGGAGAACCAGGATCTTAATCTCTCAACATCTGCACAAAATTACACCTGCTAAGACATGCTGATTTTTGTTGTTGTTGTTTGGTGTTCTGAGTTACAAGATGTCATGTAAATGTAAAATCAAAACTGATCAACTCTGTAGATGATATGCAGATCGGGGGAGTGGTAAATAATGAAGAGGACAAGTCACTGATACACAGCAATCCAGATTGTTCTTGTGCCCAGTTTACCAGTCTGTTTCACTAGGGCCAAGTTTTAGGTCAGGCCCTTAAGAACAAAGACTGTAGGTTGCATTTAACTCTAATTTATCAAAGAGAAGATTAAGGAGGGACTTGATCAGTCTATAAGTACCTACATGAGGAACAGAAATTTGATAATAGAGGGCTCCTCAATCTAGCAGACAAAGATATAACACTACCCCATGGCTAGAAGCTGAAGCTAGACTAATTCAGACTGGAAACAAGGTGCAATCTTTAACAGTGAGTAACTTTATTATTGGAACAACTTATCAAGAACTGTGTGGGGATTCTCCATCACTGGAAAGTTTCTAGAAGACCTGCTGTAGTTAAAGCACGAATTAATTCAGGCAAGTCCTATGGCCCAACTATGTGGATGTCAGACTAGATGATTACAATGATACCTTGCAGCCTGTGAAATAATGAGAAAAATCTGATTAATTTTTAACGTCAGAAGGTTATGGGGCCAGATCTTTAGTTGATGGGAAATTCATGTAGCTCCATTGACTTCAGAGGAGCTGTGTCAATTTATCCCAGCTGAATCACTGGCCCTCAGTTCTCATCCTGGGGTAGCAAATATTTAATGCTTTTCATTGGACAACTTTGCAGCACTGCCTGCATTGGCTCCTTAAGTCTGGTTTTACTTTTTACTACTTAATCATTTCTTCCTTCAAAAGAAAAATATCACAGCGACTTGCTCCTTTCCTCAGCTCTTCCAACTACTCTTGCTGAGAGTAAGAGGGGGGAAAACAACTTAAGCCTAAATTATGCAGCTAAAGGAATACCTAAATTGGACATATTTGTACAAGAATTCACACTTGTTCTGCTGCTAGGCCACTGATGGTTTAAAAACAAGAGCTCTTAATCCTCCTACTGCAGGACATAAGCTGATTATCTGGCTGATCCTGAGACCAAAACGTGTTCCCCTCTTGGTATATTATTGAACAATTAGCAGCATTCCTGTCTAATTACTGCTTCCCCTGGAATATCTAAATTCCTCTGTGTTGGAGACAAGATGGACTATTTTAGGCTAGATGGATTATTGTACTAGTCCACCATGGCAGTTCTGTCAGTACTTATCAACTGCATAAATAAGAATACAAGATCCAAAACAAGCCATAAATCAGGAATTCCTTTTAAAAAAGTCACTAAAATATGCAAAATTCTTAATCATGACTATGCCTTGTATTTACAGCAGGTTTGATTGCCATGACTTGCAGAAGGAGGCCGCCTCTCTGCTCCCCACACAGTCAATAATCTATTCTTTATTCTAGTGCTGCGAGATCTGCAAACAGGTGGTGCCTACGGACTGCCCTGTGGTGTATGTGGACAGAGCAGGCTACAATCACCAGTGGCACCCAGCCTGTTTCGTGTGCTACAAGTGTTCTGAACCTCTAGTTGACCTGATCTACTTCTGGAAGAACGGTGCTGTTTGGTGTGGCCGCCATTACTGTGAGAGCATAAGGCCACGCTGTGCAGCTTGTGATGAGGTAGGGCTGATTCCCTGCTGCAATTCTGCTATGCCTAGGCAGACAGGCTTTCTGGGACCTTGTGCAAAGAGACCTGTAGGGCCTATTCCTCTTCTGTTCCTCCATCTCTGTATGCCCAGGAACCTCTCTTATAGCTGCATCCTGCTTTTGTGGGGTTTCCTTCCTCCCATGCTTTGTGTGTGAGTTGGGGGTGGGGGGGGAGGAGTGTGCATACACATGCACCCCTGTTTGAGGATCTGTGGACCTGGTGATCTTCCTTCATGAATCCATAGACTCAAATGCCATATGTGGAAGGTAGTTAAAGAACTTGTTCTCTGATGCTTCCCACTGGCTCTAGAAATGTCAAGGACAGGAAATCTGGCTCATGAGTTGGGGATATGCAGTGTAGGGCTACTTAAAGAGTGAGGTCTCCGTGCAGTTAGATAGCAGTAAGGGTTATGAATTGGAATGGGCTTTATATGCTGTTGCTTTCATTGAAACAGGCACTTGTGGTTTAAATGCCTTTTTAATTTTTTTCAGAGAGTCTAAGGAGCCAGTATTTGAATCAGGATTAGATTTAAGAGGAGGTTCAAGGTATAGGGCTGGGTTTCAGGTATGGAATCGGCAGTGCAGAAAATGTTGTTGAGCTGGTTGTGTTATATTTCTTGCCAACAAAGGCATCATCTTGAAAGTTTCTATCCTCTCATGCCAAAATCTCCTCACAAGGGCAACCATTCTTGTGAGATTTTGCTCATATTAAAACCAGAAAGAGGTAATATTTCTCCTCTGGTTTTTAGATCTGACCTAGAACCAAAATCACTGGATAGACTCAGACTCTGATCCAGAGATTTAGTCTCAAATTTGAAGAGGTTCAGGTCTGAGATCCTAGTTTAGGGCTATTTAACTATTAAGAAGCTTTGTCAAAGAATAGCAAACTACTGTTGTCACTGTTGAATGTGGTCTGTCTTTGAAAGGTCCTGGAAAATGGTCTCATTGAAATGTAGTCCAGTATGTTGAAGGTAGACTATGTAATTGTTTTCTCATGGGAGCCTATATCTATTTATGGACTTGTCTACACTTACCGGAGGATCAATGCATAGGCGGTTGATTTAGCAGGTTTAGTGAAGACCCGCTAAATCGACCACCGATCGCTCTCCTGTCAACTACTGTACTTCACCGGATCGAGAAGAGTAAGGAGAGTCGACCCATCGACAATGCGTAGTGTGGACCCCACGGTAAGCAGATCTAAGTTACGTTGACTTGAGTTACTCTATTAACGTAACTCAAATTGCATAGCTTAGATCGACTTTCATGCACAGTGTAGACAAGGCTAATCTCATGAAGAGATACAAGCGGTGAGAAGCTTTTTAGAGAGGTTCTGATACAGTTGTGAGAGTTATCTAAAAACAGCTTAAAATATGTTGAAGCCACCAGTATTGGTATTAAAGAATTGCAGTATTGCAGGGGGAAAGTCCTGCGTTGAGGCATGGTAGAGAGCTGACCTCATTCCCTATTAGCAATAATAAATATGAGTAATCAGCTCACTTTGTGATCATCCAGACTATTTTGAGGAAGGGGGCAGGCTTATTTACTAACTCCACTGGCGCAAATCTAGAATAACGTCATTGTAATCAGTGTAGATACACTAATGGAAATCCAGTGTAATGGAGCTCAATTTTTTCCCATTTATTTGCATTTAAAATATGTGGGATTTTTATTTTTTCAAAGCAACATGTAAATGTGGTCTGCGGCTTTGGTTTCACCATCAAGAATGATCCCATGCTCTTTGCTTATGAGTTCTCCTAAGAACAGCTTCCATATCTAAAGGAGACAAGTAAATGTGTGTGTTTGTTTTTGTGCTCCAACTTGGCAAACACCCTTTTTCTTTGCTCACCTAATGAAGGGTGATGGTTTGTCTGCACGAGGAAAAACTATGCCAATAAACAAATGTATTTGTCTACTTCCACAGATAATATTCTCGGAGGACTACCAGCAAGCTGAAGGGCTGACCTGGCACAAGAAACACTTTACCTGCCTGGAGTGTGAGATGCTGCTGACTGGCAAATCCTTCAGCCTGGATAAAGCCAAGCTTCTGTGTACAACCTGCAGTAAAACCAAACATCCCTAAACACCCCATAGCTTGAGAATCCAAAGTCTGCTCTCATAGATCCAAGTTAGAATTGGTGTAAATTTGACAAATATGTGGAAAAGGGATAGACAGGGAGGGGGAGAATCACTTCATGTTTCACTCAAACTAGAGTCTGCCGGTTCACTGCCAGGCAACTAGAACCCCACCCTCCTTAAATTAAAGGAAAATAACCCTTTGGGGAAACAAAAAGAAAATTCACATGCTAGGGGACAGGAAGGAGATCTCTGGTCTCTTTCCTGGGAAAGAATTGCACTAAAGCACTGGTATAAGTAGTTTCTGGGAGATCAAATCCACTAGGTTAAACCTTGTGATTAGCATGTGACTAATCTGAACCCAACAAATCCAGAAACATGCAGACTTTTGGTTCAATTGTAAGATCTTGCTGCATCCTTTTTATAATGACACATTTCAAAAGCCCTTTTGGGACATGCTAAACCTATGGTCAATAACTAGTTTTATGGTGTTATTGTTCAATGTATTCATAGAAAACTAGCAATTTGTACTAAATCAATGGCTTCAAAGAAATAGATTAATCCAATAATTATGTTGTGAGCAGGAAATTGTATACATTGTAGAAACAAGCAGGCTTTTCCTCGTTGGTGTATAATGCCCCACTTTTTCACTGTAATTTGGTATATTAATTGCCTGCAAGAATTTGGTTGCAGGTAGGTTATTGCAGTCCTCCTCTGAGCCAGGCATGTCTAGGCTGATGGCAGATTGAAATAATGAGGGCAATTGACTAATCCCACTATTTAATTGGAATTTTGGTATGATTAAAATTTCCTGGAAATTCTTAGACTTGTAGCCCCAAGGCTACAGGCTTTAACCTCATACTCTCCTCTCATCCCCTTTATAGTTAGTGAATTTCTGGGGAGAGGCATTGTATTAATGTGAGTAGTAATGGGATGGCTTCAAAAGTGGAATTTATTTGGATTTTTATACCATTGGTTTTTAGCCTGGAAGTCTCACAGAAACCAGCTTTCTCATCAGAACAGTCTTGATTCTTGCTGTGCCTGATGTTTTAGGATAACATTTAATGCTCCCACCCAAGAAACTGAAAAAGGATTCTTAACATCCAGACCTTCCCAATCCTATTATCAACTCCCTACACCCATCTGATTCTGGTAATAGACAAAAAAGCATCCAAATGGGAATAAGCCTGGTTTTCTATATTTTTATACCCAAATTACTCACTAAAGAGAACTGGAATATACCGGTAACTTTGCAACAATATTTCCATGCTAGATATGTACTATGCTTGGAATTGCTGGCTAATCGTTCTTTGAACTATAGAAAATGTCTTTCTTTCAGACGGACTAGGTATAATTGCATGCTGAGTGTATGAACAATTTCTGTAATATTACTAGAAAATTAAAGTGTGGTAAATTTGAACATGCAACAAACGTATTGAAAGCTGGATGCACAAATCAGGTTCCCAGTTCTTCACACCTTATTAGAGGCACAACTGCACATACAGTCACACAGCATGGGTGTGCATTATACATTGTTCCGAGTGAAACCTAAGTTTACTCAAACCCACCTTCACGCATGCAAAGGAGAACATCTGCCAATCTATATGTCTATTTCTGGGAATAGGGGTGAGAACGGATAAATCCACATATGGAGGTCTGTAAAAACATAGTGGGGACTCTTACGTTGCACATAATGAGGGCTCTGTTTTGAATGCCACTGACTTAGATGACATGTTTATAAGTGGTGTTCCTGGGCATGCTTGGACATTTAAAAGTAAAACCCTACCTCCGGGACTGATGTAGTAGCATCAAAAGTTCTGAAGTGATGCTGATGGTAATAGGCATGGGAACAGTGAAAATGAATCCTTTGTGGAGTAGCTACAGTATGCATATTTCGGGGTTGCCTGTGGCCATTTTGTCAATCTGACTCATCTCTGATTCAGTTACTTCAGTGAACTCAGTAGGATCTTATAAATCACCTTAAAATGTGTTGACTCCAAGTTACAGTAGGAATTGTTAAGCTCTCTTTTAATAGCTTTGGATACAAGTAGTCAATGATTGTCAAAAGTTAGCAATGTGTGGATGGAAATAAAAACCAATGGCTTTGTTTTACAGCACACTTCTAGATGTCCTTTATAGTATCCTGAATTATTGCTGTCCAACGTAAATAAAACAATGTACTTCTGTACCTTTAAAAGATTAAGAAGGGTAAAAAGTGCACACAGCATGCAATTGGTGGTGAAAAGAGCCTGAATCATATAGAGAATACTCTTTCAATAAAGAAATTAGCAGCATTTATTGACAGGTATTCACTTTCCATTTGTGCACAAAGCATGCTATGTTATAGCCCAATCACTTCATAAGAGGTAAATATGAAAAAAGAACGTGAGTTGAAGAAACCTACAAATCACATATAATGAGTCAATAAAACATTGAGTTATTTTTAAATATAACAAAAATCACTCTCTTGCAGTGAATATAGTACATCTTTGGTCTACCCCCTACAGAGTTATTGATTTCTTATTTTGCTTAAAGTAAACTGGCTGCTTAGTCCTTGCTTTTGTGTCTGTCTCAAAGCATATATACTGCAATAGGAGTCTAAAGCCAAAGATATTCAGGATAAGCTCAGATTTCATCTAAAAAGTCTCAGCTACTGCAGTTTGTAAAGAGATATGTAAGGTAATCATTTTTCTTTTTTAAAAAACAGGCTCAGGTCAGAGTGAACATGAGGTGGAACAAATTGTTCTTCTTTTGTTAGTTCAAAAGAATTTGCATGGTGGCAATATGTATAAATGTCAGAGCCAATGAATGCAGAACACTGTTGCCTTCAAATCAGAGGACTTTAGAATCTTAATGAAACTATGGGCAGAAACCATCTTTTCAGATATGTTGCTGGCAGTAATTCCATTTTCTTTCGTGCACAGTTTGTCCTGCTTGGGGCCTGACTGACCTTGCTTACACTGGTTTTGTACCTGTGCAGCTTCACAGATTTCTGGCATGATTTTTTCCATTGTGCCACAGTCCCTTTGAACCAGCACTAAGAGGCAGTGAAGTTGGGGGATCCAGCCACTTGACAGTCCTATGTGGCATAAAACCAGCCCAATGATTCTAGGTAACACCTCTGCCCACCCTCACCCCTCCACAGCTTCTGGCATCTCCGGGTGTGACCTTGCAGCGGGCAGGGTTGGGAGTAGGGGGAGCATAGCTACAGCACAACTTCACTCTGTCTGTCTGTCCCTGGATGCCAGAATGACATTTGGAGCTATATGCAGCCAGGCCATAAGTGTCCCTGGTGGGTGTGAAGGGCTGAATCAGCCCCCAAACTAGGGGGACATACCTAGGGGGCATAAAGCATGATGGAGAATTTGGCTCTGAAATAGCTATTCCTAATTTAAACTGGTATAGCAGACCAGATTTGGGCATGAAATTAGCTAGTGAAAGAAGTTTTCTATTTTCTGTATTAATAATCTACCCAGCTTTTCTGTAAGAATCTGGTCCTACAGATCCTTGATATGTGAGTAGTCCAGCATAAGTAGTCCTAATGAATGAGACCATTCCCATAAGGAAGGGTTGGCAGAATCAGGTTCTTAATTTCCATTCTGAAACTTTGTTGTTATGGGCCAAAAATATTTTGTATATATGGGTGTAAGTCTGGTATAATTCAGTTAACTATGGATTTTCATCTGTACGATTAAAAGCAGAATTTGGCATAGTGTTTGAATTACTGGAATAAAATGATAGGTTTAACTCTTCCAGAACTTAAAACAAACTTATTTGTTTTAAAAAATAATTGAATAAACTCCTGTTTTGACCATTCTCAACACCATTTTGTCTGTTCTTTTGTTACCCCCAAAAAAAGACCTTGTTCTTTCTCTCAAAGTAGTGCTGTTGTGAGTCAAGCCAATTAAAGCCCAGGGTTGTGAGTTCGATCCTTGAGGGGGCCATTTAGGGATCTGGGGCAAAAATTGGGGATTGGTCCTGCTTTGAGCAGGGGGTTGGACTAGATGACCTCCTGAGGTCCCTTCCAACCCTGATATTCTATGATTCCATGATTCTAAATCCTGTTTTGCTTTATTTAATCTCTCCAGCTGAAATAGTAATTAAACTGTTTGTTTGCTCCTCAATGTACTGTGGGCATAAGGTTCTGATTATGTAGAAGGTGTCATAATGATAATGTCTTCCACATATGTGTATCCTTATGAATAAAGATCATAGGCCATGGATTATAATACAATTATTTTAACATACAATACCAACTGTATAAACTTGTATGTAGCCTGTGCCTCCATCAGGGAGTGAGACAAGATGGGTGAGGTCCTATCTTTTTTATTGGACCATCTTCTGTTGGTGAAAGAGAGAAGCTTTCAAGCTTCCACAGAGCTCTTTTTCAGATCCATTTGCCATTAGTGGTGGATAAACTATTATTGCATTAAACAATAACCAACTGATTTGATCACTCAGGATTGCTAAATGCTAACATAGCATGTTCTAGTTTGGATTTTTCTCTAATGATAGCAGCAGGTAAAATCGTAACAAGCCTTTGCCTCTGAAGTTCCAACTTCAGATTTGTACACACCTCCCTGAACCCTAAAGAATTGGCTACCGCCCTCTTTCTTAGCCTCTGGTATGAATGCCTCAGTGTATAAAGCCACTCTTCTCAAAGCTTCTGTGATGTGGATTGCTTGCAAAAGGTCCCAGCAACTACTCACTTCAGTGTGTGCTACCTGTGAGCTGTGCCCTGTGATAGTTGCCTTGGTCATATGGTCTTCTCACTTTCATTGGAGTGATTGCAAACAGAGGGCTTTTAACGCATAGCTTCCAGTGGGAATTAGGGTTGCTAACCCTACCGGATTGGCCGTGAGTCTTCCAGAATTGGCCTCAATCTCCTGATGACTATTAAAAGCAATTCGGGCGATTTTTATAGGTCAAAAATCCGGTCAACGGCACAGCAGGGCTAAGGCAGGCTCCCTGCCTGCCCTGGTTTCATGCAGCTCCCGGAGGCGGCCGGCATGTCCAGCTCCTGGGTGCAGGGGTGGCCAGGAGGGATCTCCTCGTGCTGCCCCTGTGCCACATCCTGAGCACCAACTCTGTAGCTCCCATTGGCTGGGAACTGCGGCTAGTGGGAGATGCAGGGGCAGTGCCCGCAGGTGGGGGCGCGCACGGAGCCACCTGGCTGGGCCTAGGAGCCGGATATCTGGTCATTTCTGGGAGCTGCCTGAGGTAAGCGCCACCCAGAGCCTGCACTCCTCACCCCCTCCTGCACCCCAATCCCCTGCCCCAGCCCTGAGCCCCCTCCTGCTTCCAAACTCCCAGAGCCCATACTCCCTCTCCTGCACCCCAATCCCCTGCCCCAGGCTCAGCCTGGAGCCCCGTCCCACACTCCAAACCCCTTGGCCCCAGCCTAGAGCCTGCACGCCCTCCCACATCCCAAACTCCTGCCCCAACTCAGTGAAAGGGAGTGAGGGTGGGGGAGAGCGAGCAACAGGGGGAGGGGGACGGAGTCAGTGGGGGGAGGGGCCTCGAAGAAGGGGCAGGACAGGGGTGTGGCCTCAGGGAATGGGGAGGGCAAGGGTGTTTGGGTTTGTGCGATTAGACAGTTGGCAACCCTAGTGGGAACCCTGGCACAGATCCATATCTGCACAAGTATCCATGCTTTCCTCCACCATTCCTAGGAACAAAATGGCACTCATGTTTGCACGGGATGGGAGGGATAGCTCAGTGGTCTGAGCGCTGGCCTGCTTAAACCAAGGGTTGTGAGCTCAATCCTTGAGGGGGCCATGTAGGGATCTGGGGCAAAAATTGGGGCTTTGAGCAGGGGGTTGGACTTGATGGCCTCCTGAGGTCCCTTCCAACCCTGATATTCTATGATTAAAAAGCTCAGTTTTTTTCCACCTCTCAGATGTCAGTAACTGGATGACAAGACTGATATGAACAGCGCAAAACATGCAAGTCTCTTGAATCTCACTTTTCGTGTCGAAACAAATGCAAACATGAAGTCAGACACCAATCAATAGCAAGTAAAGAAATACATTGGCCTCTATTCTTGTATGGCTCATCATCTAGAACGAAGAAGATTATCAGACGACTTCCACAATGTGCCGTGGTATGTCCTCTGCAAGAAAGCTATGCCTATCATTGCGTGATAACCCTATCCAGTGGAAAAGCATAAATGAAACAACGTACACCATCTGTAGGATTTTTTCCACAGAAGACAAAAGAGGAATCTAGTATGATGATGTGTGAAGCTACTATAGCTTAAGCTTTTTGAGGCAGGGACTGTCTTTGTTACGTGTTTGTACAACAACTAGCCCCATGGGGATTTGTACCATGAGTATGTCTCCTAGGTGCTACAGCAATATGAATAATAGCCCCAAAAAGGGTGCTACAAAACACAAACACTAAATGTAGTGATTGCTTTATTAAATTAATTCTTAGCTGCTACAAGGTGCTTTGAGACTACAGAGAAAAGGTGCTTTCCCTACCTTGTAGCATTTTAGCGGACACCCAAAGAATGGCATCCATTGAGTATGCAGCTGATTTTGTTCTCCTCCCTGGCCAGCCAAATGGTCTGACACGAGAATTACTTTAGTAATCCCTGTTGCTCAACTGAGTTTTGATTCATCGACAGTGGCTGTGTACTGCTTCCTCTAGATCAGTGGTTCTGAACTCTGGTTCCACCATTTGTTTAGGGAAAGCCGCTGGCAGGCCAGGCCGGTTTGTTTACCTGCCACGTCCGCAGGTTCGGCCGATCGCGGCTCCCACCAGCTGCAGTTCGCCACTCCAGGCCAATGGGGGCTGCGGGAAGCGGCGTGGGCCGAGGGATGTGCTGGCTGCCACTTCCTGCAGCGCCCATTGGCCTGGAGTGGCGAACTGCAGCTGGTGGGAGCCCCGATCGGCCGAACCTGCAGACGTGGCAGGTAAACAAAGCAGCCCGGCACACCAGCGGCTTTCCCTGAACAAGCGGCAGACCAGAATTGAGAACCACTGCTCTAGATCCTCTACCAAATCTTAGTACATTCCCATGGTTAAAGCCTTTGATGCACTGTAACTCGATGGCAATGTTATCACCTTCTGGAAAATATCCCTCTCCCTTTAATTTGCTAATGACAGCATTCATGCTTCAGTTTTATAACTGCCTCATCTTCAGAGGTATAAAAAAGAATGAAATAAACCGGCATGAGGAATAAGCACATAGGACTCAGTTTGGGGATGACAGACATGAAAAAAACTGGCTGTCAGTGAGGAACATACAAGACCTCAATCTTCCAGCTGCATTTGCAGCTACTAACAGATGTGCGATGTGATTTGAAGAAAGCAGCTTTAATATTAAGTGCTGTGTGAATTGTTATGATGAAAAAGCATCCTGTCGGATTTGGTTGTATATAATAAGACTTTAGAATATCAGTCTCTGTTTCTGTGCTAAGGTACTAAAAGATGCTGAGCAAAAATTAAGCATTCAGAGCTGCCTTCATCAAAAGAATAACACCAATCATTCTGCATGTTTGCTTAGTTGCAAGGCGAGTTGACAACTTTATTTTTTCCCCCTTAACTCAGTTTCTTTTAACTGGAAAAGTCCAGAGTTTGGATGCTTAAAATTGTTCATCCAGACTGTGTAAAATTTGTTTTTCTCTCTACTATAAATGGATTAGACAGGGCAAGTGGAATTTAATAACAGCTACAAACTGGAATGAGCTCCATTACTATGCAAGTCAGTGAAACACCACATTGAACTGAGAATTCAATTTGTGCTCAGCTTTCTCTTCAGTGTAAAGATCCATGCTAGTGGGGATAATTCAGACTCTGGATATCCCAGACACCTACCATATACCTTTCCAATATTGTCACTGTATTTCTTCAAGGATCTAGATGTAATTTATTTTTAAACACATATGTGTGCTGCTATAACACAGTCAGCCCACAGGACAGCTGTGTAAGACAGTTGGTTTCACACAAGAATGAGTTGTTGCAAATAAATTCTGAGTTTGTTTTACCTATTGCTTTCAGTTGATTAGCAAATTGCTCAGTAGAGAATACGGTTAAATGATCTTTTAACTTGATAGTTGTGTTTATAATAATGTAGCCCTTCCGTGAAAGGATAGGAATAATTTATGACTTATATGCAATTTAATAACACTTCTTTTAATAAGCAGTGCCAGACTTATAGCTTAAGCTTATAAGTGACTAAGTCTTCTGTTTGCTTCCCACATATATTCTCAAAATGGTGATATATAGTTGGTATATAAATATAGATTAATACTTTTCTCTGATGAAGTTTAAACTAAAATATTCTGCATCATTTTTTCTTTACATATATGACTGATAAGACATAGAAATGTTTCTAAATGCGTAAATAAAACATGTATCTCTTTTTAAAGCATCTCAATATGTTCCACCCTGTCGATTTGGAAAGTGTTAAGTATGAAGCATACAACTGTGAGGTTTTTAAAGACAGCTCCTATTTATTTTAAAGGAAATGGATAAATCTGGTAACAAGTCAAGCAGCTTAATGGCGCCAGGGGTGTCATAAGGATAAAATCCACCGACTGTAAGGTGCTCCGTTATGACAGCGATGAGGCCATATAAGAGAAGAAAATAATAAATTAGGGAGACAGTGTTTAATACTGAATCTCCTATTTTCATGGACAATCCAGAAAAGGGTATAAATTCAACGGTCGAACTTTTGATTACAGCAGCAAAATGTGAAGTATGACATTGTATGACAGAGACAAACTGCAAATTGAGCTGGAGAGATTAAGCCAGGGGACTGCAGGTCACTAGTTGTATTGAGACAAATAAATGTGAAATCAAACTATTATAGAGA